GCCGGGCTGGGGGCGCAGAACCAGCCTGGAGGATGCGGGAAGCAGTGAAAGAACAGCTCCCTTCCAGCTCTGCCACCTCCTCTCCAAATCTCGCTGTTCCCGCTCCCAAACCCCCGCGGCATTCCCGGGAGCCGAGCCTGGAGCAGGGCTGTGAATCCCAGCCGGATCCTCCGGGCGTTTTTAGGGCGATATTCGATGGCAGGAGCAGCGCACAGCACGGGGATTTGCTGCTGGTGCGGCTGAGGGACCTCTGGGACTGCTCGTGTTGTTCCTAAATCGGGGCAATAATCGCTGTTTAAGGATGGTTTTAGCCGGTGTCAGCCCTGCCTTTCTTCGTGAGTTTGATATTAAACAATTTAAAGCACCAGGAGGATGAGAGGAGGGCTGGTCTTGCAGAGAGGGGGGGGTCAGATATTTATATTTAGGGAACTGGGCCACAAATGTCCCTGTGCCACCTCTACATTTGTGCCCCTGCCACCCCATAAGGGTGCAATGCCCTCCCCAGCTCCTGTGGGCAAACCAAGGGCTCTGCAAAGCTCTGGGATGGTGACAGGAGCTCTGGTGTTGCCTTGGGGACAGGGACAGGGCTGTGCCACAGCTCCCCTTCAAAGAGGGGACAGTTCCTGCGGGTCTGTGTCACACAGGATGGTGGCTCCCATCCCAGGGTCTGTTTTCAGGGAAAAGCAGAGGTTTTTCTCTGCCCTGGGTGTGGAGATCCCCCTGGAGGTGCCCCCTGTGCCAGCTGGCCTGGAGGGAGGGACAGGGTCTGTCCCAGCTGGGGGAACATTCCCAGTTCCAGCCTTGCTGATCCCCATGGCAGGAGAACACGGGCTGGCCTCCAGTTTGACCAGTTCAGGTGGCTGGGAGTGGGAAAGCTGCTCCTGGAGCGAATCAGGATCTCACCATGGAGGTGGCAGGAGCTCCTCACCCTCAGAGCTGCAGAGCTGAGGAATTCCCAGCGCTCAGGAACCCCAGAGCCGACAATTCCCAGCACCCGTGAACCCCAGAGCTGACAATTCCAGCACCTGTGAACCCCAGAGTTGATAATTCCAGCCCTAAGGAACCCCAGAGCTGACAATTCCAGCACCAATAAATTCCCAGGCCTGACAATTCCAGCACTTGTGAACTCCAGAGCCGACAATTCCAGCCCTGAGGAACCCCAGAGCTGACAATTCTAGAACTGAGGAATTCCCAGAGCTGACAATTCCAGCACTGAGGAATTTCCAGAACTGACAATTCCAGCGCTGCCAAATTCCCAGAGCTGCCAAGTCCCCTCTCAGCCTCAGGGATATTTGGGAAGGGGATCCAGTGGCTGCTGAGTGACCCTTCCAGCACCTCCCCCTAAGCTCCCAGCCCTTTATCCACCCATCCCAGCCCCGATTTTCATCCCAGCCCTGCCCCACGGCAGCCCCAGAGCGAGAGGATGAGCCTGGGGCGGATGTTTGTCCCTCCTGGGAGCTTCTCTGCAGCCTCTCCATGCTGGGATGCACAACCGGGAGCTCTGGACATGGGAAAATTCCGGCTCCTGGGCTCCA